ATTTTTTATTAAAAAATTAATACTTTTTTTTTATGTTCGCAGGCAAATTTGCCTGCTCTACAGTTTAAGGGATAATATAACTGCAAAATAAAAATAGTATTAATTTTAAGACTTAAATTTATTATTTAAAAAATAAAATTCTTTAGTTAATTTGAAATAATAATAATACTTTATCCCATATTATTAAAATTTTGATTTTATTTGTCAATGATAACAAAAAAAGTTATTATCGTAGCACCAATTCTTACTTATGTTTCACGAACAATTTTCATCCAATAAATCTGGGTGAACCCAAAATAATGGTTTGCAACACAAAAAACACTTTATTCTTATTTAACGATTCTATAATCAAAGAATTTCAACTAATTGCCTAATTGTCTTTGATCTACAAAATGAATTCAGTTCAAACTCTCTCTTTTGGTATTCGTGAGTACCTTAGTCCTGTACTCAAGAACTCAAAATTCAAAGAAACTGGTTGCATTACTCCAGAGGAGGTTAGATATTATTCTTATTTTTTCGAATGTCTGAAACATTCGGTAGTTTCTTGATACTTTTTTTTTTTTTATGTATAAACAACTTAATGTTCCAATATTTTTGTTTTTAATAGTTTGTGGCTGCCGGTGACTTTTTGGTATATAAGTGTCCAACGTGGAAATGGTTATTATTTTTTTATTTTTGGATACTCTTGGATAAATATATGTAAAAAATTATTTAATCACAAATCAATCAATTCCTTTTTTCATAAAGGGAAAGTGGCGAAGTAAGTAAAAGAAGAGATTATTTACCCGCTGAAAAACAATTCCTTATCACAAGAAATGGTATGACATTTAAGATTAATCTACTTAATTATAATTTTATATTTTAATCATATAATTTTTGATATTGTTTTAAATTTAATTTATTATTAAATAGTACCATGTTTTAGACGCGTCAAACAAATGGAATATACTGAAGAAGATTCAGAGACTCAAATTGAGACTGAAAATGGTGAAGAAGCATGGGTTGCAACTCATAGTGGTCGTGGTAAGTTAGGAATACCTGTTTGATCATTTGCTTAGGATAATTGTTAATTAAATTGGAAATATAATTATAAGTCGTCGCAAATATTGAGGAAATTGTTCAGCAAATTGAAGGAGAGGATGAAGAAATTATCAAGAGGAATAGCATTGTATTAGAGCCCGAGAATGATAAAGAAGAAGTTGATATCCCTAATATTGAAGATATTCCGGATATTGAAGATGTTGAAGATGGTTTAGTCGAAGAAGAAGATCCTGTAATTTATCAATTAGTTTTTAAAAAAGAAAAAAAAGTTTTTACTTTCTATTTAGTTAAGAGATTAACAATCTCTGTTTTATGATATGTTTAGGCGACATTAGCTACAACGAGTAATGTCGTAGTTTCTTCACACGATGACGGGCCCAGGTATGCCGTATAAATTGCTTGATTATTTTTAAATTAAGTTTTGTTTCGTTATTAATAGCTGACTTATGATCAATTTATTTCGTAGTGACAAAATCCTTCAAGTACGAACATACGATGTATTTATTACCTATGATAAATATTATCAAACACCACGTATGTGGCTATATGGTTATGATGAGGTAAATAGGAAAAAAAATATTTTCCTATTTTCTTTTAGAATAAATAATATATAATATATTTTTATTTATATTATGTTCTAATTCCTTTTCTATTAAAAAGCACCGAAGGCCATTGACCTCAGTTCAAATATTTGAGGATATTTCTCAAGATTATGCTAAAAAAACCGTTACAATTGAGACACATCCACACTTGAACATGTCATTGGCTAGTATTCATCCTTGTCGTCATGCTCAAGTTATGAAAAAGATTATTGAAAAAATGAACGAAGAAGCTCTTAAAAAATTTGAATTGTTACAACAACAATATGGAAATTCTCCAAATTCTCCACAAGCAGAACAAGCACAAGTTAGAGTAGATCAGTAAGTACTTAAAGTTCTCTTCCCCCCATTTAATATAAATTAATATTTATTTTTTATTTAATTGCATTTATAGATATCTTATTATTTTCTTGAAGTTTATGTCTTCTGTCGTCCCGACAATTGATTATGATCACACAATTAGCGCATAGATATGTATTTTACTTTTATTTATTTAATAATAACTAAATTTGATTGTACGTAAAATATTTTATATAATCAGCATTATTGGTTTTTTTTTTTTTATTTTAACAAAAAAAAACTTTAATAAACGAAATGTAAAAAAAAAAAAAAAATTGATTTATTAAAATGAAGATTATTAGACGTATTATATAATACATGGTCAAACTATATTATTGAAGGTCAACCCTTCATTGCTGATTAGCTAAATTTATAATAATTATATAATATTAATAAAATATTTCAAATATTTCATCAAATATAAATATGTATATTTTTAGCTTTCAATAAATTATTAATAATGTATATAAACTACTTTATAAGAAATACAAAAATCTACAAATGAAATTTTTTTTTTTTCGTTTTTGAAAAATTACCACCCTACCAAAAATAAATAATGAATGAAAAAAAAAAAAAAAAAACGAAAGTATGAGAAAAGAAGAATAAAAAAAAAAGGGCTAACAAATTCTAATAAATAATAATGAAGAATATTCCAATTCATTCATTACTAAAATAAGTTAATCTTTTTTCTTACTAACACTTTTTATAACGTATTAGATGCAACTTGTATTTATTAATTTTAGATTAAATTCAAGTTCGTTGTACTCGTTTTAGCCAGTTTAATTTTCCTACAATTTCACCTTTCATCTTTGCAACTTGTTCACTATGTTCACTTGTCTTCTGACTTGAATGTTCTACGTCTTTTTTCATAGCTTCAATTTCTTTCAATAATCTTTGAGCATGTTTTTCTTGATTTTCTTTCAATTTATCAGCAATAGATTCTAAATTTCCTATCTCTTCTGTACGCTCCGAGGTTATTTCTTCAACCTTAACACTAGTCATTAAAACAACATCTTCTAATGATCTTGAAGTTGAACTCATCTCTTTTCGAAGAATTTTAAATTCTTTTTTAACGATTTCAACATCATTAGCATATCTAGTTTTAAAGGATTGCATTTCTTTAGATAAGAGTGAATATTCAATTTCAGATTTTTCTTTTAAAGCTAAAGCTTCTTGTAATTTTCTTTCCAAATCTGATACTTTTAATTCGGATTGACGAAGTCTTGTATAAGCGTTATCTCGTTCAAACTTCATGTCCGAATTTCTTTTCTCAATATCTTTTGTTGATTCCTCTAATTCCTTGGATTGTCTTTCTTTACGTTCAAACATTCTTTTCAAAGAATCAATTTCAAGACGTAAAGTTTGATGTGAAGCTAAATGTTCCGAAACTTGTCTTTCAGCCCTTTCACGAGCAACTTTGGCCACATGAATTAAAGTTTTTGATTCAGCAAGTTCCTTTTTTAAACTATCGATTTCGGCCTGTAAATGTTCGATAACCCTTCCTGTAGTGGATTCGTTCGTCATATTTCCGTTTGTACCGTTTGGTTGATGTTTGCTAAGTTGTTTTTGTACTGTTGAAAGTAATGCGTTTTTTTCTTCAAGGTCGTGTCGAAGACTGTGAACCTGTTGTTTCAGGGCGTCAATATTGCCCGATCCTTTAAATATATATATATATATATATATAAGTAAGAAATGGTGTTTCAGAATTTGTTTCGGGTTGCAGAAAAATTTAATTAATGATACATGAATTTAATTTATAATTTTATGCAATGATGGGCAACCGGTCCCGCATAAAATTATTTACAAAATAAATAATAATAAAAAAAAGGATAAAAGATAAAATGTTTTATTAAATGTAATATATAAGGAAGGTAAGGTGTTTTAAGTTGAATCTTCTATTTTTTTTTTATTTAAAAAAAAAAATAAATAAATAAATAAATAAATAATGATAAATTGTACACCCTACTTTCTATTCACCAAACGCTCAATTAATATTAGTTCTCATAACATTTTTCTATTCACAGAGAATAATAATATTTCTGTGAAAAAAAAAACTCCAAAAACTTTTTAAGAAATCTTACCGAGTTCACCGTTATTCATGCGCGCAAAATTTTTGTCAAACTTATCAGAGATGGAAGTAATGAATTTTTTTTTTTTTAAAAAAAAAAAAATTAAACTTTTCGAGATTTGAGGAAATTTTTTTTTTTTTTTTTTGTTGAAAAAGAAACTTAAAGGCTACGTTTACTTTAAGGTACTCTTTTTTTAAAAAAAAAAAAAATGAAATGAAATGAAAGGTGGGTGTAAAATCAAAAGAATGTGAAAAATTAAAAATCTGATAGGAGTGAATTGATAAAAATAAGTATAATAAATATATATCAGATAACCAAAAGAAACTCAAGACTTAACTGGGTAAATCTTCGGTAACACGTTTTTAATATTGCATGAGCCTGCTTGTTACACACCAAACCTTTTCTTTAAAAAATTTAAATGAATTGAATTTAACAAAGTTTAACATTTCTAGTCAGATATACCTATATGACAAATGATTGACGATTAAGAATATATTTGAAATTACCACAAAATGCGGCATTCAAAAAAAAATTTTTTTTTTTAAAACAATAAGTCCTAAATTACCGACCCATTTTATGTCAACTCCGATCATCTCCATATTTAGTATCCCGTCGACATCTCACGCAAGGATATATTTCTGTGTAATCTTTTCTCGAGACAATTTTAGAATTTATTTTTTGAAACCAGTAAAACCGGTAGGTATCAGGTGCAAAATCAATGAATACATGGATTTTCAGTACGTCGCTATATATATATATATTTCTAACATTTATCAAAGATATTGGCTGTAAGTAGTACATTCATTAAGACACTGAAATAAGTTTTAAGGGCATGAACAAGTTCTGTCAATGAAAAAAACAACGAAGTAACAAATGTTCAAGCCTTCAAAAGGAAATGCCCAACTCAAAAGATTATGACAATCTTACACGATCTAGGAAAATGACTATATGGGATCTTTGCAAAAGAAAAGGGGAAAACAACCGGAAAAAATAAAAAATGATATTTTGACCTAAAAATCATATTTGGCATATAAATGTAAAATTGCAAAAGGTCCATATAACATATGATCAGCATGTGATTTTCCTAGCTTACGACCGCAATACCTTGACCACGAAGCGATTTCTATCCTCTTGAATTAAAAGCAATTGGTTGTATAAGAAAAGAAAGTCGTTGCAATAAAACTGCAAGTAGTTCTTTTTGTATCTGTGCTGGCAATACATTAATGTATCATAAATTATATTAAAATTTGATTTGATCATGTGAAAACAAAAGTACGTCGCGATTTTCAAAATGCATTTAACGCTTGATACTTGCTTCATCGAAACGTTGGAATGAATTATGCTTAAAACACTGGTTGCCGAAATACTATCCTGTAATGTTACATGACATCTCATGTCCTCGGATAAAAACCAGGTGACCGGAAATCCTTTAGCTAAAAGCAATCGAAGAAGAGAAGGATACGTGTGAGAATCAAACAAATAGTGGTATGGTTAAAACTGATTCGGATAAGTATCATTAAGTTACCATATGATCGTTAATACTTGGTTATTGGTTTTCCCAACTTTCATAGGCCCTGTTTTCTGTGATCTTCTCATAAAAATTAGTTAAAAATGTTTATTATCACAGTCAATTCCGAGTTAAAGAACCAAACCTTACTTTTGGTTCAATTAATAAATTATAAGTAAACGGAAATTATCAACATGTAGAATACTTCTACTAGGCTAGTAAATACTTATCAAATATTTTCTCTTATACCTTCAAATGATATAGCACTTCTTAGATAACAATTTGAAATTTATAAAATCACTTACAACTCCTATAACCGATAAACAAAAGAAAAAGTTAAGGATTGGAAAATGTAAAATTATATAATATATAACAAATTATTCTTTAGATTATCAATAAACTTTTTTATAAAAAATATTATCTAAATATGTTAGGCAATATTTTGGGTTTTTTCTGATTGATATAACTGTTTAATTTGATTCAATCAAAAATAAATTTAATATAACAATCATTTATATTATAACTTTTAACCTTTGTAAACTATTTTTTTACAAATTTTAGATATGATTATCTCTATTGCTTCTATTGATAAATATCATAAAACAATTCACCTTTTTAATATTAAGAATGATAAAAAATTGATTTTTACTTATTTTTATATTTAATGTAAAAAGTTCTTTATTAATAACTCAAATGATAAAATTAATTAAAGTAATATACAGTCCTCGCAAAAAGTAATGGCGGTCAATTTTTATAATTTAACACATGCGATTTATTAATAAACCCAATTAAAATTTTTTAAATAAAATATGAATATCATAGTTGCAATTTTTATTAATTAATTAGTATTTAGTATGCGCTCCTTCTGCAT